CAACCTGTATGCTGAGTAAATCTGAAGCTAATAACCTCCAGACTTTAGCTGTCAGAATGGATTACATCCCACCACAAAGAAAACAAAAATCCTCACAACTGGAGCAACAAACATCATGATAAAGAGGAAAAAAAGACTGCAATTGTCAAGAATTTAATTTTCTTTGAATCCATAATTAACACCATTAAGAGCAGCTATCAAGAAATCAAAAGGCTTCTTGCACTGGGCAAAAAGAAAACCTCTTCAAGTGTTACAAAGGAAAGATTTCACTTTGAGGACCAAGGTGCACCTAGCCCAACTCACAGAATTTTCAATCACTTAAGCATGCAAAAACCAGAAATAATAAAGACTAAAGAAATGATGTCTTTATATTATGGGGTTGACAAAGAAAAAAATATATATATTGAACATACCATGGACTGCCGAAAAAATAAACAAATTTGTCTTGCAAAAAGTATAACCAGAATCTTCTGTTTTCAAAGTTCTGAGTTCCTGTGAATTGTTTTTAATTTATTTTTTATTTTTAAAAATTTGACTTCTACACACCAACCATAATCTCAATCTCCCCGCCCTGACAGTGGCACCCAGGAAAGCCATAAAAGCAATTGTGGGGGGACTCGGGGCTTTTTCCCCTCGCCACCTTCCTACTGAGAGAGAAAGCCTCCATTAGTGGATACTCTGGAATAAAGTGCTTATTTGTATTTAACAAAAAAATTTACTTCTTTGGAAGTGTGGATGGTGAGACTTTGCCTCACTATTGGGAAAGAACAGTCCCTGGGGAGGGACAACATGCTTCATATAAAGTAGAAGCCAACTGCCACTGAATTAATTCCAACTCTCAGCGATGCTGTAGGACATAGCAGAACTGCCCATAATGTCTCTAAAGTTGTAAATCTTAACAAAAGGAGACCGTCATGTCTTTCTCCTACAGAGTGGCTGATGTATTAAAACATCTGACCTTTGGTTAACAGCCAAACATTTTTATCACTATAGCAAGGGGCTCCTTTGGTAAAACAGAGAGAGTGAAAACGAGGAAGATCCTCAACAAGATGGACTGCCACAGCGATGGGCTCAAAAACAGTAATGAGTGTGATATTGCAGGACTGAGTAATGTTTCATTCTGTTGTACATAGGGTCACTATGAGATGGAATTAACGTGACAGCACTTAATAACAACAGGAGAGGATCAGAGATATAGAATATAATGCTTACAGAAAGCACTGAAACTGTGCCCCATTTACATATTTTACAGCCATCTTTTAAATAACTTTACTATGAGCTAATAAAAAAAAGCAACTCAAACTTGCTAGTATTTTGCTTAACAACATACGGCATTGAAAGAAAATTACAAGTGCTTTCTTTGTTCTCACTGATGAAAATTTGGTTTATGATTATGTTCAAATAGTGGTATCATTAGGGGGGCAGGGAGCAAGGGTGTGATGTGGACCACACCAGGTGAGACTGTTGGATTAGGTAATGCCAGAAAGACTATTTAAAAATTGTGTGCAAAAAGTAAAGAACCAATATGTTTTTAAACCCACAAAGAAATACTGTTTGCATATTTATGCAGAAATTAATTTGTTCTATTTAAAAAATCCTGTCATTAGTTATAACAAAAAAATTGTTCCGTTTACATGTATTGATGTCTATAAGGATAAAACTCTGCAATGTTAGTCTTACGCCCTCTAATGAGTTGTCTTCAGCTGTCCTTATTGCCTAATTGCAATTAGGCTTCACATCACGTGGTTTCCTCTGCAGGTGTTACAAACTACATTGTTTTTGTTGCGGCTGCTGCTGTTTTTCTAGTTACTGATTTTGTGACATGTTCTAGTTTTTAGCTACAACGCTGTGGTGATTAGCATTTATGAACCTACTATCAATAACTTTTTAAAATGAAGTAGTAATTACTAATAATGTAATTAATAATATGTTGTTGTTATGTGCAGTCAAGTTGGAACAAACCCTCTAGAGGGTTTTCAGAGGCTATTAATCGCACGGGAAGAGACTAATTGTCTTCTGCAGAGCAGCTGTTGGATCTGAACGGCATTCCTTTGAGTTAGTAGCGCACCGCCTTACCCCTAAGCCACCAGAGATCTCTAATAATGTGTAGAAAGATTTAACAAATTTGTTAGTATATGTTCAATCTAAAAACGATTACATTTAAGCCATTTACAACGAAACCGCTCATTATTCTATGATTAAAATTGATAATAAACGTTACTAAGGATTCTAAGGTAGGGCTGGGTAAGCGACAACATGAGGCTGTATTCACTGTTTCTTCCCTTTCCTCTTTCTACTCAGTCGAACAAGATCACAGAGTTTGCTTTGACTCTTGAAGACTCTTGAATTAAAAAGTATTCGTTTTAACTTGCTGAGTGATCTCTCACAGCTGTTGACAGAAACTACAGTGGTTAATAGAAACTGCTCAGTGGCGCCCCCTTCACGTGGCGCCCAAGGCACAGTGCCTCCTGCCAACGCCAGTAGGGACGTGCAGTACTATTGTCTGTGAACCCAGTGTCCAGTTTCAGGCCAGACACAGAGTATGTGCTTAATAGCGCTTTTGTTGTAGATGAATCGAGTTGATCTACCACTCGTGAGCCATGTCTAGTCTTTTTCCTCCGTATCCTTCAGGGTGACTCAGTATATTCTTTCCATCTTCTTTTAATACTTCCTGGATCATTTCATATTCTTCCTAAAGCATCCTTGATTATAGCAACTCGAGGTTTGAATTTGTTCTTCAGTTCCTTGAGCTTAAGAAATGCTGAGCGAGTTCAGCCCTTTTGATTTTCTGACTCCAAGTCCTTGCACATTTCATTGTAATATTTTACTTTGTCATGCCATGCTGCCTTTTGAAATCTTCTATTCAACTCTTTAGTATCTATCTTTAATTCTTCCTTGTGCTTTGGCTTCTCTGTGCTCCAGTGCAATTTTTAGTCTCTTCTGACATCCATTTTGGTCCTCTCTTCCTCTTCTGTCTTTGCAATGACCCTTTGTACTCTTCCTGGATGATACCCTTGGTATCCTCCCACAACTCATCTGGTCTTCACTCGTTAGTGTTCAAGGCCTTAAATCTGTTCTTGAGATGGTTCTGAAATTCAGGTGGGATAGACTCAAAGTCATATTTTGGTTCCCATGGATTTGGTTTCATTTTCCTCAACTTCAGCTTGAATTTGCATATGAGTAGTTGGTGGTCTGTTCCACAATCAGCTCCTGGTCTAGTTTTCACAGTTGATACTGAGCTTCTCCAGTGTTTCTTTCCACAAATGTAATCAATCTGATTCCTATGCATACCATCAGGTGAAATCCATGTATATAACCTGCGTTTATTATGTCTCTTTAAAAAAGTATTTGCTATGAATAAGTCATTGATTGTGCAAAATTCGATCATTCTCTCTCCAGCTCCATTTCTGTCACCGAGTCCATGTTTTCCAACTACTGAATCTTCTTCTCTGATGAGGACCTGAAGCACTTGCTGCAGAGGGTCAAGGACTGCAGCCTCCAATATGGATTGAGGCTCAATGTCAAGAAGACAAAGATTCTCACCACTGGGCCAATTGGCAGCATCAGGATGGATAGTGAAGAGACTGAGATTGTTCGCAGCTTTAGTTTGCTTGGCTCCACAGTCAACACTCTTGGCACCAGAAGCCAGGAAATTAAAAGGCGCATTGCCATGGGAAAGTCTGCTGTTAGGGACCTCTCCAAAGTACTGGAAGAGCAATGGTGTCTGTCTGGAGACTAAGGTGCATCTGATACAGGCCATGGTCCTTGCAATCACTTGTTATGCATCAGAGAGTTGGACAATGACCAAGGAGGATAGAAGAATTGATACCTTTGAGCTGTGGTGCTGGAGAAGAGTATTGAATGTACCATGGACTGCCAAGAAAACAAACAGATTCATCCTGGAAAAGGTTAAACCGGGTGCTCCTTGAAGGCAAGGATTCTAAGGCTCCGTCTAACATACTTTGGACATGTTGTGAGGAGAGACCGGTCCTTGGAGAGGGACATCATGCTTGGGAGGGTGGAAGGACAGCACAGGAGGGGAAGGCCCTCTATGAGGGGATTGTTTCAGTGACAGGGATAATCGGGATGGGAGTGTCAGAGACAGTGCGACTGGCACAGAACAGAGTAGAGTTTAGGGCTGTTGTACATAGGGTCGCTATGAGTCGCAAGCGACTCAATGGCACATAACAACAACAACAACATCCTTCAGGGCGATACCCGGAAAAGGGTTTCCTGCTGGCTTGTCCACCAACTCCGCTACTTTTGGGAAACTGATGTGCCCCTGTGTGTGAGAGAAGGGAGGTTAGAACTGCTCTACCTGAACCTTGTGAAGGTGGAATCAAGAATCATTTGGAAAGATGGGAAGCGGAGCTGAACAACGGAGGCTGAGCGGTCAGTCTGGGAAGCTAGCCGACCAGACTTGCCTTGAAAGACGCTATAAGCACAGTGAAGTGGACTGAAAAGGTCCAGAATGCCTCCTCGTGCCGAAACCTGGAACCGCAGCAAGGTCCTGACAGGCCTGTGTACAGCCGGAGCCAGCCCACTGCATTGCTCCTCCCCGCCCGGGTAACTCTCAATACGCAGAGCCTTTCCTCCTGGTTCAATTCCAGCCCCAGGAGAGGATTCGGGCCCCGCCTCCGCGGCCCTCGCAGCCCCGCCCCGCGCCGGCCCTGCGCAAGCGTGCTGGCGACTCTGAGAACTCGGAAGTTGCGTGTTAGGCGCCCGTCACGGGGGAGGGAGTCAGCTGAGGTGCCGGGTGTCAGGTTAGGCTCACCTGGGATCCGCTGCAAGAAGCCCGCGACCCCTTAGGGGCGGGTGTGGGTTGCAGTGCCGCGTCAGGTTAAAGCGGGAGGTTTCCCGATCTCCTCCTTCAATAAACCGAGTCCGATAAAAATCTTCGGGATTTTAAAAAGGAGCCAGTGGCAAATTGTCAGATTTGCCAGGGAGAGCTTCTCCGGGGTGGAGGGGATCCCTTGGGAGGAGCACAGTTGCAATCCCCAGGCGCAGGACGAAAGGCCCCGAAGCCAAGCACCATGGCGTCCATTCTGGATGAGTACGAGGACTCGCTGTCCCGCTCGACGGTCCTGCAGCCCGGCTGTCCCAGCGTGGGCATCCCCCACTCGGGTAAGAAAGAGCTTCACTTCCCTTCTGAGCCCTCCTGGAGCCTGCAGCGTTCAAGAACTGAGGTTCACTTCGGGGGGGGGGCGTGCAGTCCTGGTCTAGGCCCCCCTACTACTCTCGGGTCCTGTTGGCCTGGTGGAAGTTTGAAAGCCACTGGAGCAGTTATGTCCACCCTTCTAAGAGGGAACTGGGACCTAGGAAAGGAAGTGACTTGCCTATTGCTCCGCATCTGGGCTACTGCGAGATCTAAGAATAGACTAAGACTTCTTCTGATCTTTGATTTTGTGCATTTCCCAGCAGGCCCTTTCCAGGTGGTTAGGAGGGAGCTAGCAAGTTGGTGAAAGGAGAATGGAAAGAAGGGATGATCTTGGAAGGAATTGTGGCAACGAATGGGGTGGGGGCGGGAATGAAGTTGAAATATTTAAGACCTTGGTTAGTCTTAGGTGGCATCTGTAGTTGAGAGAAAAGTTTTGCATAAAGTAGTGCAGAGCTGGTAGAGGGATCTGAAATGATGATAGGTTTTGAGCAGTTGTAAAGGAATGAAGGTAAAGACTTAAGTGGCAGCGTTTGTTAACACCACTACTTGGAACTCTTTTCCAGGGCTCCCCCTGCCCAGCAAGGAGTTTCATCCTTCCCCCTAAGCCTTACTAAAAGCATTACTGCCAGGGCAGGGAGAACAGGAGAGGTAGAGCTAGACTGCTTTAGTTGAGCTGGGATTGCTGGTCAGAGACTGATAAGAGTATCGGCAAGTCAGCACCCCACTACCACTAGGAGCAGGTGGTACTGCATGGTATAAAAAAGCATCTCCAGAGTTTAAAGAGGCTCTGGAATCCCTCACGCCTGTCAGAGTGTAGGGAAAGCCCAAGACCAGAGTGTGGAGTTGATTCACCAGCTACTTGATATTCAGCTATTTATCCTGTTTGTCTCCTCTGCTTTTCCTCTTTCAGAGCTTACCTTTTCTTCACTCTCCATTTGTAGGTTATGTGAATGCCCAGTTGGAGAAGGAGGTACCCATCTTCACAAAGCAGCGCATCGACTTTACCCCTTCCTTTACCCCTTCTGATCGCATCACCAGTCTTGTTGTCTCCTGTAATCAGCTCTGCATGAGCCTGGGCAAGGATACGTTGCTCCGGTAACTGAGAGTGTGGGGGAGGGGGAAACTGGAAGAAAAAACCCCCAAATACTTCATCTCATTGTGGTCAAGTCAGAACCGACTCATAGCTGACCCTCCAGTGGGTTTTTGGGAAGCTATAAATTGCACAGAACGAGATTGCTTTTTTCTCCCCCAGAGCCACTTTTAGATTTGAACTTCCAGGGAAGTGCCACCTTTGGGTTAGCAGCACAACTTCCTACAGACGGTGCCACCAGAGCTCCCTGGGGGAAGTTGGGGTGGTATTAGGAGACTGATAAGTGACCAAAGTCTGAGCATGTGAAGCAGTGAATTTGGAGTTTCCAAGAAATAGCTCATTTCTTTCCCAAGAGAGTCGGTATAGTATACCTAGTGCTGTAGAGTTGACTCCAACTCATAACAGCCCTGCATTGGGTTTCCAAAGCTGTAAATCTTTCTAAGACAAGATTACCCGTCTTAATCATATGGAGCAGCTGCTAGTAGATTTAAGCTACTGACTTTTCTGTTAGCAGTGCAGTACTTGAACACACTATGGCACCACAGTGCTGTAATATAACAATTAAGGGAGGTCTGCTGGTGTGGCCCATAGTAAATTATGTTGCTGCCTCTAAGGCATTGCTTCTCTGGTGATTCAAATCCACCAGTGACTCTGCAGAGAAAGCTAGGCAGTCTCCTCCTATGCAGTTTACACTGTTGGAACACCGACTGAAGGGTGACCTTATGAGTTGGTCCCAACTCTATGGCAATGAGTAAGATAATATTAAAGATTCAGGTAGACCTTGATTCAGATCCTAACACTACCACTTCCCAGCTATGGAATCTTGAGCAAATTAGTCTTTCTAAACTTGTTCACTCAAGGTAATGTGACTACCACATAGATATACCATAAATGGAAAGAGGATGAAAGTCACACAAGTGTTGAGGACTTTCCTTCGTAGGGTCGCTATGAGTCGCCTACAACTTGACGGCACTTAACAACAACAACAACAACAACATAAATGGAAGTAGGAATCTCTAATGGCATAGTGTACAGAGAGATGTTCTGCTTACCCATAGGCGACACCTCTGGTGGTTCACATCCACCAACAACTCTGAGGTAGAAAGATGAGCAGTCTCCTCCTGTGTGATTGACTGTCTCCTAAAACTTGGTTGAGGGTCAGCTGTGAGTCAGTTCGGACTTAATAGTTATGAGTGATAAAGAAACAATTTTTTAAAAACTATTTTTAAAATTTTTATTATTTTTTGTGTGTGTACCATCAAATTGGCTCTGACTGGTACAGGAGGAGATTGCCCCTCCTTCTCCAACAGAGCATCTGGTGGATTCGAACTGCGGTGGATTCGAACTGCGTACCTCTGGGATTGCAGTACAGCTTCTTGCCACTAGTCCACCAGAGCTCCCTTAGAAACAATATTTGACAAATTAAAATAAACATGTCTACTGTTGTCATATTAATTCCACCTTGTAAGAATACTATAGAATGAAATAGAACTGTCCCACAGGATTTCTGAGGTCATGACTCTTACAGAAGCAGGCTACCACATCTTTCATCTGTGAAATGGCCAGAGGGTTCAAATCACTGACTTTAGATTAGCACCACTTTAACCATAGCCCCACCAGAAATGCCTACAAAATTATTTATCTGTAAGAAAAACCAAAATTCTTTATCTAGGTGTATAAACACACCTATCTGGGAATAAACAGACTTATACACAAAAAATTACTTTTACATGAAATGATTCCCTAAATGTGAAAAATAAAACAATGAGAAAAGTAGAACACTTAATTAATTTTGTATTCCTGGGCTAAAGGGAGATCTACCTTCTTACATAAGGTAGTGAGACTTTAAGTCATAAGAAAAAGATATATGTGATGATTAAGCACTTGCTTCTGGGGCTGAACAAAAGAAGATCATTGAATCATTGATCAAGACAAAGGATAGCTGAGAAAATAATGATGTTTCACATTATTAAGGACTTGCATTCTTACTCCTTAAAAATGCTCTTATAAATTAATTATAGACTCTTCAGTAGAAAAAGAGGACAAAGAATATAAATAAACAGTCAACAAAAGAACTCTACATTTCCAGTGTTGTTGCTGTTAATTGCTGATGAGTTGATTCTAACTCCATGTGTGCGGAGTAGAATCACTCTGGAGGGTTTTAAAAGCCAGAATCCGATCACCAGGCAACTTTGGGAGGGTTTGAACCCTTGTTTGGCTGATAGTCGCCCAAAAGCTTCCTAAGTTTTCAATAAACATGTGAAAATATCTTCAGTCTCTGGGAAATGCAACTTAAAATAACAAAATGCCCAGGTTTTGTTAACCTTCTAAATTGACAAAAACCAGCCAAAACCAATCCAATCCAGTCAGCTCATACACAGTTGTGAACAAAATAAAACCAACCAGACCATCCACAGCCAAAACAAGAACTCACCTTTTAAAATCCAGCAGCTACCCACACATGTCTTCAACTGAAGACTCAGTCCCAAAAGAATTTTAAAACTCTGTGTGAACTGATTAGTTTGGATGGTTTGGGCTGGCAATGAGCTGTGGGCCAGGGGCCTCTTGTTGGAACCATTCAAGG